AAACCAGGACTAAAAAAAGGGCTAAAACCAGGACTAAAACCAGGTCTAAACCCAGGACTAAACCAAGACTAAACTAGGTCTAAACCAGGACTAAAAAAGGGCTAAAACCAGGACTAAACCAGGACTAAAACCAGGACTAAAACCAGGTCTAAAACTAGGACTAAACCAGGACTAAACCAGGACTAAAACTAGGACTAAACCAGGACTAAAACCAGGTCTAAACCCAGGTCTAAACCCAGGACTAAACCAAGACTAAACTAGGTCTAAACCAGGACTAAACCAGATCTAAACCAGGACTAAAACTAGGACTAAACCAGGACTAAAAAAACGGCTAAAACCAGGACTAAACCAGGACTAAAACCAGGTCTAAACCCAGGACTAAACCAGGACTAAACCAGGTCTAAACCAGGTCTAAATCCAGGTGTAAAACCCAGGACTAAACCAGGTCTAAACCCAGGACTAAACCAGGTCTAAACCCAGGACTAAACCAGGACTAAACTAGGACTAAACCAGGACTAAACTAGGACTAAAACTAGGACTAAACCAGGACTAAAACCAGGTCTAAACCCAGGTCTAAACCCAGGACTAAACCAAGACTAAACTAGGTCTAAACCAGGACTAAACCAGATCTAAACCAGGACTAAAACTAGGACTAAACCAGGACTAAAAAAAGGGCTAAAACCAGGACTAAAACCAGGTCTAAACCCAGGACTAAACCAGGACTAAACCAGGTCTAAACCAGGTCTAAATCCAGGTGTAAACCCAGGACTAAACCAGGTCTAAACCCAGGACTAAACCAGGTCTAAACCCAGGACTAAACCAGGTCTAAAACCAGGTCTAAACCCAGGACTAAACCAGGACTAAACCAGGTCTAAACCAGGTCTAAACCCAGGTGTAAACCCAGGACTAAACCAGGTCTAAACCCAGGACTAAACCAGGTCTAAACCCAGGACTAAACCAGGACTAAACCAGGTCTAAACCAGGTCTAAATCCAGGTGTAAACCCAGGACTAAACCAGGACTAAACCAGGTCTAAACCCAGGTGTAAACCCAGGACTAAACCAGGTCTAAAACCAGGTCTAAACCCAGGACTAAACCAGGACTAAACCAGGTCTAAACCAGGTCTAAACCCAGGTGTAAACCCAGGACTAAACCAGGTCTAAACCCAGGACTAAACCAGGTGTAAACCCAGGACTAAACCAGGACTAAACCAGGTCTAAACCAGGTCTAAATCCAGGTGTAAACCCAGGACTAAACCAGGACTAAACCAGGTCTAAACCCAGGTGTAAACCCAGGACTAAACCAGGTCTAAACCCAGGACTAAACCAGGTGTAAACTATGTCTCAAACAGGATTTAACAGGATTAAATCCTGCTGCGTGGACATGTCTCGTCTTCTATCAATAATATTTTTAATTTGGTTTGGTAAAGTCTGGGCTTTTCATTTTCTTTTAACAGAAAAAAAAATCTTATGTTACAATTTCCTCGTCTTTGTTTCTCTACAGAAAATCAAGTAATCCAAAGTAATCAGATTACATTACTCACTTTAAGTAATTTAATGGATTCCGTTACAAACTACATTTTGAGGTGTAGGGGATTACATTTTAAAAGTAAACTTCCCAACACTGACAACGTGTAAATAAGACTAAAGAAGATTAGTATATGTCACTTACTAGACCAGGTACCAGACCGGGACTAGACCGGGTACCAGACCGGGACTAAACCAGGTACTAGACCAGGACTAAACCAAGTACTAGACCAGGACTTAACCGGGTACTAGACCAGGATTAGACCAGGTACTAGACAAGGTACTCGACCCGGACTATACCAGGATTAGACCCGGGATTAGACCAGGTACTAGAACAGGTACTAAACCAGGACTAGACCAGGTACTAGACCCGGACTAGACCCGGTACTAGACCAGGATTAGACCAGGTACAAAACAAGGTACTAGACCTGGTACTAGACCAGGTACTAGACCAGGATTATACCAGGTACTAGACCAGAATTACATCCGGACTAGACCAGGTACTAGACCAGGATTACACCCAGACTAGACCAGGTACTAGACCAGGATTATACCAGGTACTAGACCAGAATTACACCCGGACTAAACCAGGTACTAGACCAGGATTACACCCGGATTAGACCAGGTACTAGACCAGGATTACACTCGGATTAGACCAGGTACTAGACCAGGATTAGACAGTTTTCTTTAATTACAAACTTCTTTTACAGTTTTATCTTTACCAAACATCACAAACCGAGGCTGTCCCAGTTTCTAATTCTGAAAACCTGGTCACTCTACATATTGTGGAACATTCCAGGCAAAGCAGTGAAACCTCCAGAAGAAAACGGCGAACCGTCGTTACAACAGAAAACTTCACAAACACTTTCCACGTTTTGAATGTTTGTCTTTTGCAAATTGTGAACATTGACACATTTTTGTGATTTCTTTTTACTTTAGTAGCTCCATATTCACAGTAATTAACAATAAAATATCTTGTGTATGAATTCAACACGATGCAGGTTCTGTTCTTATCGCTGTAGAGAAAGAAACGAAAAAGAAATCGGACGTAAACAAGTTTAAATCCACAGTAAAATCCAGAGCCGCTCACTCGGGCACCGCCATTTTGAATCGTGTTTGTTTATCTTCCGGGTTCTTTTTCCGTCTGATCACGTGGTACAACAGCGTCCACTTTCGGACTTTTATTTTATTTTTATATTTTATTATTATTTTTTATCTCTATCTCTATATATATATTAGTATCTGTTTGTCGTTTATTTAGCAGTTAAAGTGTTTAATTAAATTAATTAATTAATTATTTAGTTTTTTTTTTTTTTTTTTTTTACTAAATTATATGATACAAACAAATTGGCAGTGTTAAATGGTCAAGTAATTAAGCATGAAAAATGAGAGGTCAGACAGGAACAAAGTAAATAAATAAAAAATAAATAAATAATAATAATCATAATCATAATTAAATTAGGTGCTAGATAGTAATTTGTAAAATATTTATGCGTTACATTTATGAATAAATCCAGACATATTAGTATCTGTTTATCTTTTATTTAGCAGTGACTGTTTGTTAGTTTGTTTTTGTTTTGTTTTTTTTACAAAATTATATGATACAAACAAATTGACATGTTAATGGTGAATTAATTAAGACATGGTGGAGTTTGGCATTAGACAGTTATTAAAATGTTTTACAGTTACAAATTACTGTGTTAATAAAGTTCTCAATGTAATAATTATATGAACTCTACATCAATACATTTCAGCAAATCAGCAAAATAGATTGTTTTAAATGAGTCAGATCTCACGTACCTGCGTCGGGGCTGCGTGCGCTACGTCACTGAACCATATCTATTATTTCATTATTTTGATTAAAAGCACTTTTTATTTATCAATCTGATATAACACTCTACGAAATATTATGTGCGGGTATGTTTTTCATTATAAAGATGATGATTTTGCAGGTTTAGGTTTATAAAATTAAGTCAGAAGCCATGAAGTGTTATCACAGGTGTAAGTCAGATGGAGAAGGTTACTGAGATTTATTTTCGAGGACAGAGGCAGGTTTGGGGAGACCATGTCAACAATTGTTCTCCACAGACACAGATTTACCTTCTAATAAATACTATTTATTCATTATTATTTTTGTAACAGAGGAAAATACAAATCATTAGGATCTTCAAACTCATCAATAAAACTGTTGAACATTTATCTGTGTGCTGCCTCAGAGACCTGGAGAGTGGCGCCCTCTGCTGGAGGTTAGTTTCTCTGTCAGTGAGAGGGAGAACCACATGCGTCACACAACTGAACTGAAAGTGTTTGAGTGACGTGCTGCTGAAGTGTGTTTGAGACTGCAGTGACGCGGTGAGTATTTCTCATAATTAACATGTAAAATATTGAAACAGTGGTTTAGATTTTGCTTTTTATTTGGTTCAGAGCTGAGTAGGTTAGTTCTGGTTTAGTCTGAGTTTAGTCCTAATGTGGTCCTCCGATCGGAGCTTGGTGTGACCTATTTCATAGGCCTACATGGTTGGTTTCTGTTAAGACGAGATCAAGTATTGACATAGAAGGAGTTTATTCCTAGTTTAATTCCATTTTAAGATGTCCTGGCAGAAAGAGTATTTGTACTCAAGTAAAAGTACATTTACCTGGCAAAAACATACACACAAATAAAAGTACAAGTACAGCCACGATCTCTTGTGCCCTGGTGTAGACCTTTTTTAAACATGGTTGGTTTTGGTTAATTGCAGGTTAAGTATTTGCTTTGAAATAGTTTAGTTCTAGTTTAGTTCCGTTTGGATCTATGTGGTCCTGGTTTAATCATGATCTAATCCAAACACTATTGTGGAAGTGAAACATTTTAAACCAGGGGTGTCAAACTCATTTTGTTCCGGGGGTCGTATCCAACCGACTTTGATCCCAAAGGGGCCGGATCAGAAAACTCATGTCATATAAACCCCAAAAATAACAATAAGTTCAAATATTCGTGCAGAGAAACACAAATCTATTACAGAAATCTTTTTTAATTGATGAACTCTTTCTTTTACAAAATATTATAATATTATGAACAACCTGAAGAAAAATGTAATTTCAACACAAAGTTTTAACACGAACTTGTTTGCAAATAGGAATAAGTCAATTTTTGTTGTAAAATCCTGCACTCGGCTCCACTTTTCTCATGTTGGACATTTTTCTGATGAGGGTGTCACAGTCAACAGTCAAAACGATCGTCCTTTAAGAGCGTTTGGAAAGAGACAAGTCTTCATTTATGATGCTCTGGTGGGAAGGGCCACGTACAGAGACACTGGAGACGCTGCTGTGATAAACACCACAGAAAATTAACAAGATTTTAATAGAAAATATAATTAAAATATATTAAGCTATGAGTAGAAAATCAGTGGAGGGCCGGATCCAGCCCCCAGGCCGTATGTTTGACACCTGTGTTTGAAACAAAGCAGCCCAACTCTCAGTGAAGTGTGATGTCGTCATATGTCCAGCAGAGGGAGACACAGACCGATCAGACCTCTGGGTGCAGAGCAGAGACACACACAGTAACTCCACATCTGAAAAACAGAACTTCTAAACAGGAGACATCTCTGTATGTTCTGTTCAAATGGACTCTTCTTCTGATTCCAGCTCCTACAACATGGACCCACCTGGACCTGGCCCCGGGTCTAAACTCAGACCTAAACCTGCTCCCAGCTCTGTGTCTCTGAAAAGTGACCGCTCCAAACGCAATCCTCCAGACTTTAGTGAAGCTCGTCCTGAAGATGAGAGGTGAGACATTTGAACAGGTCTTTTCACACTGATAAACAGAGACTAAAGTGAGTAGGACTGTTACTGTGTGACTGTCTCCTCAGTCAAACACATTATTCACTCTGTATCTTCTTTCCTGTTTTGTCCTGGTCATGTGCTCCAGAGGGTCAGACTTACACAGACATAAGTTTAAACTACTGCAGAACACATGAGCTGCACTGACTCTACACTGCCCCCTGTGGACGAGCACTGACAGTTCTATATGGTGTGATTAAAAACTGCTCAAACATGCATGAATCACTCTAAAAACAACTTCGAGAGGGTAAATGAGAAGGGGAAACAACTATAACATGGTTAAAAGCTCTGAAAAGTCGATTCTGCAGAATAGGTCTAATTTAATGAAATTAATTAATTAACTGGTACAAACTGAATAACAACAAAAATGAATAAGGATTCCTAAGGAACTTATTTTCTCATTACATTTGCAAACTGCACCACACTGTGTCAGTGGATGTTCTCTGTACTGTGAGTCTCAGTCTCATTGTCTGATCCTAAAGCAGGTGAACAAACAGCATCCTCTCATTTTGTCCTGGTGACTAAAGCTCAGTTCTACTGCCTGCTCCCAGCTCTGTCTCTGAAAAGTGACAACTCTAAAAACTTTCCTCCAAACTTTAGAGAAGATCCTCCTGAAGACCAGAGGTAAGACTTAATCCAGAGCTCTGGACAGGAATCAGGATCACAGGATCTTCTACAGATTGTACAAAGGTCTCAGAAAATCAGCTGTTCTGAACCAGGACTGCCCTGAATACATCAGCAGAGTGAAAAATACTGCACTACTGTATATTATGGATGTTTCATTTGTTATTCAGTTCATTTTTCAACTGCATTTAAAGGGCTCATGTGACGCTATTTTCTGATCTGTTCTACTGTCGTTTCCTCATCACAAACAGACCTGGAGTTTTGTTTTGTTTCATTCACATGTTTAACACAAATCCTGTGTATTTAGGCTGAGTTCTTCTCTCAAACACAACACAGTCTGTTCCACCTTGTGATGTCATGAGGTAATTCAAGAAGTGCTCCTCTGTGTTTTTAAACTCCACACACCTTCACTAGAATCATTTGGATATTTTCTTGCTGATCTCTACTGAACTAAAGGTAAAAGGAAACTCTTAACTTAAAAACTACCTCTTTATGAGATCACAAAGTGTAAACACAGACTGTACAAAGAAGTGGACTTAGTGAGTGTGATGTCGCCCACAGTGATCAGCTCCAGTCAAATGAAGCTCACAGATGCTAGCAGTTACAGGAGCGAATCTGGGTCAAAGTCAATGGGAATTAGAGTAAGAAGGAGCCGGAAAAGCCTTTCTGCGTCCAGTTTGGAACACAGTGACTAGCGCTTTAGCTCTGTCCATTTATATACACAGTCTATGAGTGTAACAGCATTTTGGAGATGCAGACAGACTAATAACAAGGATTAGTTAAACATGAGAGAATGAAACAAAACACATCTCCATGTATGTTATAGAGGAGAAAACAACATTAAAACACAACTTAAATCTCACAAAGTAAATTTTGTCTAAGAACCTTGAACCAAAAAACACCCTTTCGAATAAATTTCACCAACAGCCTCTGCAGCAGATCTAAGGCTAAACTCATTCTCCATCAGACCTGATGAGTCTAAATGTGTCCAAAGGCAGCAGGTCCCTGCTCAGAGCTGTGGGACTCTCCTCTTCACTGTCTCTGTGTGTGAACCTCCTGTACATCCTTGTGTCCAGCCCCACTGTGGTGCAAATATCACAAGGACACACTGCAAAAGCTCAAAGTGTCTTCTAATGATGTCCTCAGAATGCTGCTGAAAAAGTCCAGGGTCAGTAGTTCCAGTCTCCTGTTCTGTCAGGCTCATGTGAACTTTTCAGGTTCTCATGACAAACCTGGTGTATAAATCCATCTGTGGCCTAAATGAGTCTGTGAACTCTGTGGTGGTGATGCTGGTGAGTCTCAGGTTTAGTTCTGTGCAGTAACACTGCTCTTTATGGAAACACTGATCTGTCTTTTATAACCCTGTTTTACTCTTGTCTCTGTCTTATTCTGTTGTTTTATGGACCATGAGTCTGGAATAAATAAATGATGATGAGTTTATTGTTTGACAGGGAGCCAGGCCCAAAGGAGCAGCTGGACGCCATATTCAGGGTGAGTACCCCACGAGCGCAGCATGTGTGGGGTTCTCTGGGTGCTCCTCAGGTGCTCTCTTTGACTAAAACTCTTCTCTTATTGTTCTGTTCCAGCGTCTGGAGGAGGACGTCCTGACTTTTTGTCAAAGAGAGCAGCTGCAGAGGCTCCACAGGCTCCTGGCCTCAGATTACCCAGAATGCTCTGAGAGTGAGGAGGAGGAGCAGAGCAGCAGAGAGGTTCTGAACATCACCCTGGACTTCCTGAGGAGGATGGACCAGGAGCAGCTGGCCCAGCGCCTGCAGAACAGTAAGAACTCTGTTACTGTCCATCTGAGGAACAGACCACACCAGACTTGACTTCACAGTAAAGTTACTACTTTTAAAAGTAATTTTTACAATATAAAGCAGCTAATACTCTCCTCTGTGACTGTGTTCTAGTAAAGATGTTTTCAGGAGGTGTTTGTGGAGATAAACTGAAGTGTGATCTGCAGCAGAGGTTCAGTCGTGTGTTTGAGGGCGTGGCTAAAGCAGGAGACTCCGCCCCCCCGACCCAGATCTACACAGAGCTCTACATCACAGAGGGCGGAGCCTCAGAGGTCAACCAGGAACATGAGGTCAGACTCATGGAGACGGCGTCCAGGAGACCGGCCGCTCCAGAGACCATCACATGTGAAGAGCTCTTTAAACCCCGCCCACATTCACCACAGCCAATCAGATTTGTGCTGACGAAGGGCGTGGCCGGCGTGGGGAAAACAGTGCTGACTCAGAAGTTCAGTCTGGACTGGGCTGAAGGCCGGGCCCACCAGGACCTCCAGCTGCTGTTCCCGTTCACTTTCAGAGAGCTCAATGTGCTCAGAGACACACAGTTCAGCCTGGTGGAGCTGCTGCACCACTTCTTCAGTCCATCCAAACATCTCTGCAGCTTCCAACAGCTCCAGGTGCTCTTCATCTTTGACGGTCTGGACGAGTGCAGACTTCCTCTGGACTTCAGCCGAACCCGAGTCCTGACCGACCCCACAGAGTCCACCTCAGTGCACGTGCTGCTGGTGAACCTCATCAGGGGGAGTCTGCTTCCCTCCGCTCTCCTCTGGATAACCACACGCCCCGCCGCGGCCAATCAGATCCCTGCTGAGTGCGTCTCCATGGTGACAGAGGTCAGAGGGTTCACCGACCCACAGAAGGAGCAGTACTTCAGGAAGAGGTTCAGAGACCAGGCCACAGCCGTCATCTCCCACATCAAGAGCATCCGCAGCCTCCACATCATGAGCCACATCCCGATCTTCTGCTGGATCCTCTCCACAGTTCTACAGAAACTTCTGGAACAAACAAAGCTGCCCCAGACTCTCACACAGATGTACGTCCACTTCCTGGTGGTGCAGGTCAAAGTCCAGAACATCAAGTATCACCAGGGATCAGGGGAGGACCTTCACTGGACTCCAGAGACCAGGGAGATGGTGAAGTCTCTGGGAAAACTGGCCTTTGAGCAGCTGCAGAAAGGAAACCTGATTTTCTACGAGAGTGACCTGAGCGAGTGTGGGCTGGACGCTGCAGCGGCCTCAGTGTACTCCGGAGTGTTCACACAGGTCTTTAGAGAGGAACCAGGCCTGTACCAGGACAAGGTCTACTGCTTCATCCATCTGAGTGTGCAGGAGTTTCTGGCTGCTCTTCACGTCCATCAGATCTTCTACAGCTCTGGAGAGAACCTGCTGAACACATCACACTCCTTTAAGAGTCCTAAGTCTGAGGCAGCCTTCTACCGCTCTGCTGTGGACCAGGCCTTACAGAGTCCAAACGGACACCTGGATCTGTTCCTGCGCTTCCTCCTGGGACTGTCTCTGCCGACCAATCAGAGGCTGCTGCAGGGTCTGCTGACTCAGACAGGAAGTAAAAAGACCAATCAGGAGACAATAAATTACATCAAACAGAAGCTGAATGAAAAGGGTCTGTCTGCAGAGAGAAGTCTGAACCTGCTCCACTGTCTGAACGAACTGAATGACCACAGTCTGGTGAAGAAGATACAGATGTACAGGAATGGCAGACTACTCTCAGGCTTAAATTCTCCTGCTGAGTGGTCGGCTCTGTCCTTCCTCTTACTGTCCTCAGACTCAGACCTGGAGGAGTTTGACCTGAGGAAATACCAGAGCTCAGAGACAGGTCTCCTCAATCTGCTGCCGGTGGTCAGAGCCTCCACCAAAGTCCTGTGAGTCCAGACTGTATTTAAACTCTTGTGTGGAGGTTCTAGTCTCTAATGTCCCTCTCTGTCCTCAGTCTTTGTGGCTGTGGTCTGTCTCCTCACAGCTGTGCTCCTCTGGCCTTAGTCCTCAGCTCCTCCAGTCTCACACATCTGGATCTCACTAACAACGACCTCCAGGACTCAGGAGTGGAGCTGCTGTGTTCTGGACTGAAGAGCGCCCCCTGCAGACTGGAGACTCTCAGGTGAGACGCTCCCATGATGCACTCTGCCCCCTTGTGTCCACATGAGTGTAATTCTGTGTCTTTAGGCTGTCTGGATGTCTGGTCTCAGAGAGGGGCGGGGCTGCTCTGGCCTCAGCTCTGAGCTCCGCCTCCTCCCACCTGAGAGAGTTAGACCTCAGCTACAACCATCCAGGACCCTCAGCAGAGCTCCTGACCGCTCTACGGGACGACCCCCACTGCCCCCTGCAGTCTCTCAGGTGAGGGTCCTGGTTCAGTGGGTCTCTGGTCCATGGTGGGTCCAGATCCTGGTCTCTGGTCTGGTCTAAACTGGACTTGTGTGTTTCAGGTTGGATCCTGCTGGAGAACAGTGGATGGTCCCAGGTCTGAGGAAGTGTGAGTCTCTGTATTTCATTCAGTTCATGGGAACATTTACATGATGTAACTTTATCAGACTTTAAATCTTTAGTTTTAGAGGAAATATTTGTGTGATTTAGACAAAATTGCTATTGTTCAGGATTATTACAGCTTAAAATGAAATAGAAAAACTTTCATATTCCCCTCCCAGAACCGTCACCTTATCGTGGTGGAGGGGTTTGAGTGCCCGAATGACCCCGGGAGCTATGTTGTCGGGGGCTTCATGCCCCTGGTAGGGTCACCGAACGTAAACAGGTCCTGGGGGACGGGTCAGACGAAGAGTGGTTCAGAAGCCTCATATGATGAGTTACACACTGGGTGCTCGCCAGCAAGTGCCTGGTGGCTGTGCAGAGTACCCGGCCTTCTTGGAGTCCCTGGGAGGGGTACTAGACAGTGCACCGACTGGGAACTCCGTTGTTCTCCTGGGGGACTTCAACGCCCATGTGGGCAATGACACTTGGAGAGGGGTGATTGGGAGGAATGGCCTCCCTGATCTGAACCCGAGCGGTGTTCTGTTACTGGACTTCTGTGCTAGTCACAGTTTGTCCATAACAAACACCATGTTCGAGCACAAGGGTGTCCATAAGTGCACCTGGCCAGAGGTCGATGATCGACTTTGTAGTCGTGTCATCTGACCTCCGGCCGCGTGTCTTGGGGAGGCTGGAGATATGGAGTCCGAGTGGGCTTCATTCTCGGTCTCTATTGTCAATGCGGCTGCTCGGAGCTGTGGGCGTAAGGTCTGTGGTGCCTGTCGTGGCGGCAACCCCAGAACCCGGTGGTGGACACCGGAAGTAAGGGAAGCTGAACCACAGGGGAATCACACTTCTCAGCCTTCCCGGTAAGGTCTATGCCAGGGTACTGGAGAGGAGAATCCGGCCGATAGTCGAACTTCGGATTCAGGAGGAGCAGTGTGGTTTTCGTCCTGGCCGTGGAACACTGGACCAGCTCTACACTCTCCATCGGGGGCTCGAGGGTTCATGGGAGTTTGCCCAACCAGTCCACATGTGTTTTGTGGATCTGGAGAAGGCATTCGACCGTGTCCCTCGTGGTGTCCTGTGGGGGGTGCTCTGGGAGTATGGGGTCTGGGGCCCTTTGCTAAGGGCTGTCCGGTCCCTGTATGACCGGAGCAGGAGCTGTGTTCGTTGCCGGCAGTAAGTCAGACCTGTTCCCGGTGCATGTTGGACTCCGCCAGGGCTGCCCTTTGTCACCGGTTCTGTTCATTGTATTTATGGACAGAATTTCTAGGCGCAGTCAGGGGTGGAGGGGGTCCGGTTTGGGGACCACAGAATTTCATCTCTGCTGTTTGTGGATGATGTTGTCCTGTTGGCTTCATCGAACCAGGACCTGCAATGTGCACTGGGGCGGTTTGCTGCCGAGTGTGAAGCTGCTGGGATGAAGATCAGCTCTTCTAAGTCTGAGGTCATGGTTCTCGATCGGAAAAAGATGGCTTGCCTTCTCCGGGTGGGTGGGGAGTCCCTGCCTCAAGTGGAGGAGTTCAAATATCTCGGGGTTTTGTTCTCAAGTGAGGGGAGGATGAAGCGTGAGATTGACAGATGGATCGGTGCAGCGTCGGCAGTGATGCGGTCGCTGTATCGGACCGTTGTGGTGAAGAGGAACTGAGCCGAAAGGCGAAGCTCTCAATTTACCGGTCAGTCTTCGTTCCTACTCTCACCTCTGGTCATGAGCTCTGGGTAGTGACCGAAAGGACAAGATCGCCGATACAAGCGCACGAAACGAGTTTCCTCCGCAGGGTGGCTGGGCGCTCCCTTAGAGATAGGGTGAGGAGCTCAGTCACACGGGAGGAGCTCGGAGTAGAGCCGCTGCTCCTCCACATTGAGAGGAGCCAGTTGAGGCTCGGGCATCTGTTCTGGATGCCTCCTGGGCGCCTCCCTCGGGAGGTGTTCCAGGCATGTCCCACAGGGAGGAGGCCCCGGGGAAGACCCAGGACACACTGGAGGGACTATGTCTCTCGACTGACCTGGGAATGCCTCGGGGTTCTGAGCTGGAGGACATGTCTGGGGTGAAGGAAGTCTGGGAGTCCCTGCTTAGACTGATGCCCCCGCGACCCGGCATCGGATAAGCGGAAGAAAATGGATGGATGGAACTTTCATATTCTCAGGAGCAGGAAGTGACGTCATGTGTTTGTGTCCTCAGATTCCTGTGAGTTTTCTCTGGATCCACACACAGCTCACAGAAAACTCAAACTATCTGAGGACAAACGGACAGTGACCTGTGTGAGAGAGGAGCAGCAGTATCCAGCTCATGAGGACAGATTTACAGACAGGTGTCAGGTCCTGAGCTGCACTGGCCTGAGGGGGCGCTGTTACTGGGAGGTGCAGTGGAGGGGGTGGGCTGAAATATCAGTGAGTTACAGAAGAATCAGAGGAGAGAGAGAGGAGTGTTTGTTTGGAGACAATGATCAGTCCTGGAGTCTGAGGAGCGCCCCCTGGTGGACAAATGTGACTCTTTGATATAAATAGCTGAGTCTTCTTTACACAAGCCTTCTGTTTAAATTGACACAAAAATCTTTCAGCATCTTTTACTACAAAAGAGTCTGCGTTTGCTTTTGTAAAAGTTGAACTGTGGTGACTGGAGCAGATCTTCGGGTGACAAGATTTTGGGCAACAGTTGGTCACTTTGTGTCCTAAGCGGTGGTGAAAAACCTCTCATGAAGTACTTTTACTCACACTTCCCTTGTACTTCAGTGAAAACACTTTGGTAAATAAAACTGGGAGAGGAAACAGGAATCACAATATGAGGTTAGTGATATTAATAACAAACTTAAACAATAATCTGCATCATTACAACCAAATATAGACTACACATGTCTATATTTAACTCTTGAACATGCCTTTGTATTTTTATTCATTTTGATCATTCACTTTTAACAACTTTGGCTGAGTTGCATTAAACTCTGTATAACTTGTATCTATAATTACACAGCCTGTGATTATTTTTTTTCTTTTCCTAACTGAAAAACGTCTTTATTCTTCACATAATCATGGAGAGAGGAAGGTGGCAGACCCTCCAACAGAAATATTACACATTATTGTAACACTAAATTAGAAAAGCCAGAATGTGCTCTTGTATTTTTAGATATCAGTGTCTTATTTAACATCTGTCTTAAGCTCTTTTTTGTTACTTATTTAGAATTTGTTATCACCGTGTACATTTGCTCTTTGTTATTTTAATTTATTGTGATGTGTAGAGCTGCTGTGTCCAAATAATTTCACTTGTGGATCAATAAAGTTTGTCTAAGTCTAATCGTGACTAGTCAACTTTTTTTTTTTTTTTATTGTTGTAATTGTATTTTGGTAATTGTAGTTATCTAGAGGAGACTGTACAGACTCTAAAACACATACTAGAGACATTTTTATAGCAAAGGCAGATCAAAATGTAAATAAAAAAGAAAAATCAATACAGTTTAGTCGTAAATATTCAGTTTAGAACCTTCAGTCACTTTAACCTTCATTTGGTTTAATGAATTTCAAAAGTCTCGTTTGACTAGTCGACCAATCGAAACATGAATCTCTGAATGGTTGAGTAAAAATAATCGTTTGTTGGATCCAGAGACTGTAGCTACATATATATTCTTCTACCTACCTTGATAAAGCCAAAATGAAAACACGAGCATTGTTTTGCCTTTGCCATCTCAGTCCGTCATGTTGGATTCAATCAGAATTGTCTTCATTTTTCTGTGGAATCTGTGGGTTATTATGCAGTAAAACTTTTAGTTTTGTACCACAAGTGCAGTTCCTCTTCTTCTGACACCAAAAAACACAACAAAAAAACATGCAAAGGCTGTAAAACTTCACACATTTACAGCTAACAAACCTTTCTCTCTTTCTGCCCTTGGAAGTATAAAAAAACCTAGTCAGGCTGACGTCACCTAGTGTCTCATTTTTCTCCAGCGATTAGGTCAGGAATCGTAATACACTAGACGGTCCGTAAAAACCCTGGAAGTGTGAGTTCGGGCACCAGCCAATCAGCGAAGAGTCAGACATTCTGTGTTGGTAACGATTCCCCAGATCGAGGATTTAAAGCCGGAACAAAGAGAATGTTTGGTGAATTTTATCAACGGTCCTTCTTTTTGTGGGATTTGGGAAAAGTTGAATATACCAGTTAGCCCCGTTAGCGGCGCTTTACATACGTCACAGCCAAATTAGGAAAAGAATTTTTTGGCGGCCGACATGATATTGATAAACTGGGAGTTGGAGATGCCGATAGTCGATATAATCACCGATATATTTAGTGTAAAAATTCACTGTAAATCTGCAACTGATTATAAAACTCAGGTTTGTCTCTAGTGGATTTTAAACTGGGTTTATTTAGGCGACATTTACCATTATTCTGCCTCTTTACGTTATATTTAAAGACAGCAGGTCGGCCTAATGGCATTTTTGCATCACGTTCTAGACAGTAAAGAAAGTCCTGCAAGTAAACTCCCACTATTAGCCTTTAGCGGTAAATGCTGCATGCCGCGTTAATTAATTATATGCGTAAATGTCGATCAGTCACACCTCTATTCACAGCTCATTTACATATCAATGCAGGTCCAGTAACGTATATACAGCCACTACACTCACAACAGCTAATCATTGACCAATGAGAAAAAAACAAGCTCCAAAACCGACAGATTTGCAGCAGTCACCGCTGACACAGGCTCCTCTCAGATCACAAGTCTTCACAAATAAAAGTCCTTCTAATCCTGACGGAAAACGTAAAAAGAGTATAATCCAGCTGCGTCTGTCCTCTGTACCACAGTCCTCTTCTCCCACTCACACTTTTATATAAACAGCAGCAGTTTTGTTTCAAGCCCAAACTGCGCTGAAGTTCACTTTTTTTTATAGTCAGTATCGTGGATCAGACACAAGAGCGTTTAAAGTGGCGTCTCAGTGCCGTGCGCATGGAGCTACGGCTGTGGGTGTAAACAATAGCGTGAGTCATGTGACGTGACTGAGGGGCATCACACACAGACAAATGACTCCACAGATAAATATTGACGCTCAGTCACATCTGAGGACATTTATTTGTCTGTAATTTCAATTAAATGGATGGAATATAGAGATAGTCTAAGCTTTATAACAAGGTGTAACCTGCCCACGTGGACTATCGGCCCAGATCGGCAAGCTTTAGGCCAATCGCTGATATGTGTCCAAGTGCCCATATCTCACCGATATATCGATATACATGTCGGGCCCTAGACCAAACAGCACCAAACAGACAAAAGTACCCGCCTCCCAACGCATGAACGAATCCTACTGCTGCGAGGTCACACAGTTTCCATGAAACATTCGTCTTTCTTCTCTTGATAGTTGTGGATAAATTGTTCATGTTGAATGTTTATCGTTTGTGGAGTTTGTTGGTTAAAGATTTGGTGATGGGGCAGATTTATGAAGCTGCTGGAGAATTTTTGAGACAATTCCACGCACATTTTGCCAAAGAAAAGTATTAACCGGAGTTAACAGTTCCACAAACCTCCAGAAGGTGGATTAAGAACAAAAAGGGTTGGACGTCTCCGTGTCAGTTTATCTGTGGTCGCGTCCCTCAAGTCTTTTATTTTGAAACTCCCCCAGACAGGACGCGCTTCTGCACTTTCACTGGTTTACCCTCCCTCCATCCCTCCATCCAAACAGATCCCTCCATCCCTCCATCCAAACAGATCCACACTCCCTCCATCCCTCCATCCAAACAGATCCATCCCTCCCTCCATCCCTCCATCCAAACAGATCCACACTCCCTCCATCCCTCCATCCAAACAGATCCCTCCATCCCTCCGTCCAAACAGATCCACACTTCCTCCATCCCTCCGTCCAAACAGATCCCTCCATCCCTCCATCCCTTCATCCCTCCATCCCTCCGTCCAAACAGATCCACACTCCCTCCATCCCTCCATCCAAACAGATCCATCCCTCCCTCCATCCCTCCATCCCTCCATCCAAACAGATCCACACTCCCTCCATCCCTCCATCCAAACAGATCCATCCCTCCCTCCATCCCTCCATCCCTCCGTCCAAACAGATCCACACTCCCTCCATCCCTCCATCCAAACAGATCCATCCCTCCCTCCATCCCTCCATCCAAACAGATCCACACTCCCTCCATCCCTCCATCCAAACAGATCCATCCCTCCCTCCATCCCTCCATCCCTCCATCCAAACAGATCCACACTCCCTCCATCCCTCCATCCAAACAGATCCACACTCCCTCCATCCCTCGTCCAAACAGATCCCTCATCCCTCCATCCCTCATCCCTCCATCCCTCCGTCCAAACAGATCCACACTCCCTCCATCCCTCCGTCCAAACAGATCCACACTCCCTCCATCCCTCCGTCCAAACAGATCCACACTCCCTCCATCCCTCCATCCCTCCGTCCAAACAGATCCACACTCCTCCATCCCTCCATCCAAACAGATCCATCCCTCCCTCCATCCTCCATCCTCCATCCAAACAGATCCACACTCCCTCCATCCCTCCATCCAAACAGATCCATCCCTCCCTCCATCCCTCCATCCCTCCATCCAAACAGATCCACACTCCCTCCATCCCTCCATCCAAACAGATCCACACTCCCTCCATCCCTCCGTCCAAACAGATCCCTCCATCCCTCCATCCCTTCATCCCTCCATCCCTCCGTCCAAACAGATCCACACTCCCTCCATCCCTCCGTCCAAACAGATCCACACTCCCTCCATCCCTCCGTCCAAACAGATCCACACTCCCTCCATCCCTCCGTCCAAACAGATCCACACTCCCTCCATCCCTCCGTCCAAACAGATCCACACTCCCTCCATCCCTCCGTCCAAACAGATCCACACTCCCTCCATCCCTCCGTCCAAACAGATCCATGCTCCCTCCGTCCCTCCCTCCTTCCCTCCTTCCCTCCTTCCCTCCGCACATCGTCTCCTTCAGACTCCTGACTCCGAGCCGCCGCTTCCGCCGTCGTCGCCGTCGGACTCCGAGTGGAGGACGAGCGCCGGATCCCGCAGTGATGATGCACTTTGTCCGGGACTTTCTGCGGAGACCCAAGGAGCGCGGCCGGGACGGGTGAGCGAAACACCAAACTCAAGACCCGACCCAGAAAATCCACAAATGAATTTAAGAATCTGAGTCAAGTCTTGGTTTGGTCCTTGGTCAGACCTGGATCTGACCTGGTTTAGCCCCTGTTTACATTTTATAAAGTGGGCAGAGTTTAGATGAGTTTAGTCCTGGTTTAGTCCTGGTTTAAGACCTAGTTTTAACCTGATTTAGACCTAGTTTAGTCTTAGTTTAGTCCTCATTATTAACTTGACT